GAGCACAACTGCCCCAGTTTCCAAGGCTGTGATCTTTACAGAAGCAAACTGCCTCATCTTTTTCCTCCAGATCAGCTGGTGGGTTCAAAAGCACCAACCTTTTGTCTAGCAGCTGACTGCTTTCACCACTAAGATGTTTTTTTCTCAGGTTCTAGAATTTCCTCAATTTACGAAAAACGTGATACTCTGCCTTTTAAAAGTTTAGGGATCTTCAAGGAATGGGAAAGCATCTACAGCTAAATGGTTGATATTAAAATTAAATGCACAGTAGAGCACTGTTCACTGAGACATGTAACTGGGAGAGAGAACATAAAACAAAAGGTTGCATTAAAAATCAAAGAAGTATTTTGTAGGCAGAGAGGTATTATACAATTCTCTTCACAACTTACATGATGGACTCAAGGATATTAACTTGCATGGTGAACCTTAGTGAAGTCAAAACTGTTTGACTGACTGGCTGACCTTATACGCAGAAAATTCTGGAGAAACTGGGATTTAATCTGACCAGAAAATTTATAGAAGGCAGGAAGTTATATGATAGGTAACAAGTGATAAATTCAACTCCTATTATGACCCAGTGAAACTCTTAAAGACTAATGGGTTCAAGTATCACAGAACCAGACTTTATTTCAATTATGAGGATTAAAGATGAAATGGACTCAAGCAGAAAGTAGGTGCTCCTTTACTATAACTGTTACTTTTGCAGTAACAGGTTAGGATTATTTATGATGGAATTCAATCATTACTTGTGTGATAGAGCCAGGTTAACTTTTAAGACACAATTAAATTCCAATCTGTGAAAACTGAACTATGTGTGCAGTAAGTAAATGAGTTTGGACTGAATAAAATCTATCTGTTGCTAATTAATCCTCATGACTCTTGATTTAGGTTGTTGATTTTTAAAGAGAATTTGCTTTAATTTTAAAATACGTCCTTTGGCCCACAGGAAGATACTTGGTTCAATTAGTGTTCATTAAGTCCTACCTGGTACGATAGAAATGCTAATTTTCTTATAGAAATTTACTGATTTTTTAAAAAAGGATTTAAATTTTTCAATGGCAAGATGTCTAAGCATGGAGTACTCTATTATGCTTAATGAATTTAATATTTCACTATGTCATTTTTTTAGTTTATCTCAGAATGTGACAAGCAAAATGAGGAGGCAATTAAGTGATATTTTAACAAATGTATACCATAAATAATATATTTTATTAAGGTGCCAAGTGCTTGATTTAGATGTGCCATTTTGATACATAACATTTACCTCAAGAGCTGATAAAATTTTTAAGTTTTTCAAAATATAAGTAGAATAGGTGCCTGATGAAAATTTAAAATTTTAATTACAAATGTTTAAACTGCCTCTCATAGTTACGTTTTGAAAACTGTTTGCAAGTCATTATTTTTGGAGTGGTCATTATATTTCTGTATTTAAAGGGGAGAAATGCCCATCCTCAAAGCCACTATCATTTATTTAAACTTTTAGCAACCATACTTTTAATTTTTTCACTTTTATCACTATTGCTGTTATTATCTCAAAAGATCTTTAGAAAATTACCAACAAATTTTGGTATAAGTGTAAAAATGTAAGTATTTTTGTTTTTGTTTTTAAGAGTAAGTGTAAGTAGTTAATCTGCATGTACAGACTGAGTAGCAATTACCATATTTTATTGAATCTAAGATGCAACTGATTCAAAGAACACCTTTATTTTATGTTCTACTAAGAAAGAATAACAGTTTATAAATTACAGTATGACACATAATTGATAAAGATGTTTCCAATTTCAGAGGCATTAAAATGTCAAAGAATGTGCATCTCAAAATCAATGAAATACGTCATTTAGTCAAATTCTAAACATTGTCTATTAAATTGTTCATTTTCATCTTTCACATAAATAAGGCATGACTTAGTTAAGCAAAGAAAACTTTATTTCTGCTACACATAACATATTTTTCTATGAAACAACTATTGTATTAGTTTTAGCATTAATGTGTGGATTAAAAATAATACATGTCAGCAATCTTTGCTCCCCAGACAAAACAAGGTTGTGCACAGACTATCAGGTTATATGAAAAAAAAAGCTGTCAACTGTCCACAGGGAGTGCGTCCAGTCACATTTTCAGTCAGTCAGCTGAGGGCTATGTCATTATTTAGTCTCTGTTCTGCAGAAAGAACACAACACAAGTATGAAAATCATCACCTGAAAGGAAAGAACTACTGTATATAGTATTCCTAACATTTCCTAATTGTTTTTTTATTTCTATGTAACTGATGTTATCTGCTTACTTAACCATAAATGCCCCCAAATAAGCAAAACCAAACTTACTTAGAATGATGATGCCAGCAGGTACTAAGTATCTGGAGGGGAAACACTGTGAATTATTACAAAATCAGAATGCTCTCAAATACTAAAATTACCACTTTCCTCAAACTGAAAGAGAAATGTATTTTGCAGATCACACTCATCTCCTTAAAAGGGAACTTAACTACTCTCAAAGTTATATTCTTAGACATTTCTTTTCCTATTTCATAGGCGTGCCTTACTTTAATCCTAGACTTACTCTGCAGAGACCAAGGGAACTAGACTTCATGAGCTGTGTTGTGTGTTCTTGAAATTACAGAAGCAAATAAAAAACTATGCTCTTGAAAAACTTCAACTATCAAAACCATGTAAAATTCGGGAAAGTTTTTCATACTATTTTATGGAAACTTAATAAATCAACAAAGGAGAAGAATCTCATTATAGACTCCATGGTAAATAGAAGATCTACAGCAAAATAAAAAAAGTCATGCTTAGAAAACATTCAAAACCAGTATTGCTAATTATAATCTACCCAAATTACCATTTTAAACTAATCTGACCTTACTCTGTTTTTGCCCTGATGTTTAACAGTTCAATAATGGAAAAGTCATAGATTTATATAACTAGCCATGCTGAACAATGTGTAATTCCTATAATACAGTGAATTGCATGAATATACATCACTTTTAAGAGGAAAAAAAAGGTATTAAAAACTTAAGTTCTCATCGCACCAGCTGGCTGTGGGGCAGTTTTGTGTCACTGTTGTTCCACACTGTCGAGTTGATTCTGACTCACAGCGACCTCACAGGACAGAGCTGAACTGCCTCCTAGGGTTTGCTAGGCTGTGATCTTTATGGAAGCAAACTGCTGCATCTTTCTCCCACAAAGTCACTGGGGGGCTCGAACCACCAAAGTTTCAGCTACCAGAAGAGCACCTAACCACTGTATCACTAAGGCTTCTTTTTGCTCCATTATATTTTGAGTTTCTGATCATTTAGACTGCATTATTTTGGATGAGATGGCATCTCAAAGGTTTTACTGAAGCTACCAATGAAAGTATTTTATCTTAAACTTCAAAAGCATTTTTCATTTTAAAAAGATTTTGTTGACTTATTCTCTCTCAATAATCCTATGAAAAAATTGACCTCAAAAAGGGGAAGAGACCAGCCCAAACACAGTCAGGGGCAAAGCTGGAATTTCAACATTTATCTTCTGATTTAAGTTCAATATTCTTTTTATTACATAAATAATCATTAATAAAAGCTCAACCAGACTAATTTATATATTTTTCCATACTAAAAAGTTACAGTCATTGTCCTTTTTTAAGAAAAGAGATTCACTGAACAAAAGCAAGAATTAATTTTTACCTATATATTGAAATATTCAGACAGGAATAAACACATTATTAGATATTATTTTAAAGTATGTCTTGTCCAAATAGAATTCAGTTCATAACATTTTATTTGTAAATACCAAAAACTGCTTTGTTGTAAGAAAGACTTGCTAATTCTTTTTCACTAGTAATTTACTATTTCCAGGATTAAATCACTAAAGACATATGGAGTAATGGGGTGAACATTTCTAAATCAGAATTTCTTCATAATGGACAAAATGGGCACTTTTTATTGCTGACTGCCTTCTCTGAAGGAGGAACTAATTAATCATAATCACTTGACTTGCTTTATCAGATAAAGGGTGATTGGAAGTTAAGGCGGAGCCAATCTATTCTAATATTTGTTAGCTCAGGAACCTGGTCAGAAAGAGAACCTGGAGTGAGGGAAGAGATACTTGCAAGCTAGTCACTTCAAACTGAATTCAAAGTGCTCGCCAACTGCTACCACTGGACCGGTTGTGGATTTGGGATGGTGGTGGGTAGTGGGGTTAGTAGGAAAATTCTCAGCTTCCCCTGAAACTCAGAATTCATGTAGAAAATAAAAAGTATAGAGAGCTGTACATTTCTAACTTTAAAGAAACCATAAACTGCCACAAAAAAGAAATTTAAATTTTGATTTTTGAAAACCAATAAAAGTATCATGATACAGAATAGATAACAGAATTTTGGTAAGTTGTCAGAGCTATTTTAAAAATATATATGCATGTGTGTGTGTGTGTGTACACGCATGTAAGAGTACTTTCTGGATCTATAGTTTCAATGCATAAGTTCATTAACATAAGTCCAGAAAAATACCAACATTTAGATTCAAAAGGTCTGAAAAAGATGTATTACTTGACAAGACTCATCAGACATTTTTATTAGTGAGAAGCCAAAATGTTCTTTATAAAGACTGTTATAAATTACCTCAATTCATAACTCAAGACAAAAATTCTGCAAGTTAAAAATCTTTCAAAGTATCTTAGAGTTTCTGCAAGCACACTGAAAAGTCCAATTCTTAATATCTAAGACATTCTCTAAGAAAAATTATTCAATTTCATTTTCTAATTGAAATGCGATTTTATTTTACAGAAGGGCAAAAACATTTATCTAGTAAATGTCAAAAATATTTTTAAAACTTTAGGAAAAAAAATCATAAAACTAACCCCCGAGCTGTAGCTTTATCAGCAAAGTTTGAAGCCAAAGTACTTTTAACGGACTACTAAATTCCTACAAAGAAGGCTCCTAATGAGGTGCTTGTATGTTCTCTACTTGCTATACTATGTATCTGGTGCTTTTTCATTCAGAAAAAGGACTTACCTCAAGAATCAGTAAGTTCTTTGCCTTTTGTTAGATTCTTCTCTTGGGGAATCTGCCAGCATAACTTTAAGCCTGACCCCATTCAGGATCTTTCCATGTAAAGTCGTAATGGCATCATTAGCACTTATTCTATCTGCATACTTGGCATACCCCACATTTTTTCCTGACACAAGGTAAACTTCGATCAGGTTACCAAAACGACTGAAACAAAGTAAAAAATCAACTGAAATTGATAAGTATAGCTGGACAAGCCTAAAACTTGGGGTATATTCTTAACTCCTTTTCACCCCTCTCCCCACATTCAACCACCAATTCATGTCAATCTTACTTCTTATACATTTCCTCAGTCAGTTTCTTGCCTCACTCTCCTCAATCAGGCCATCATTATTTTTCCCTCATATTACTCTATTACCTTCTTCACTGGTTGTTACTCTGTCCCTCTCAAATCCATTTTCCATGCTTCTGTGAATGATCTTTCTAAAATACAAACGTAATTTAGCCCCTAAAAATCCCTTTAGCAGCTCTCCACTGCCTCCAGGGTAAGGACGAAGTTCTTGACATTGCTTGTGGGCCTTTTTGATTGACATGGTCCTTGCCTTCTCCAGTTCTATCATTTTTCACAATCTCTCAAATTCTGTATTCTAATTGTCTCCTTTCTCTGGCAGGAACAACCACCCACAACACCTCTGCTTTCTTTCCTTGTTAAATATTCTTATTCTTCAGGCCTCCATGTATAACTTGCTTCTTTCAGGAAGTCTTCTTAAGAGTTTCTAAGCAAAGTGCACTCTTAAGTGTTCCACAGCCTGTATGGGATAATTCTGTTCTGTCCTTTGGTGTTAAAATCAACTTAGTGGCAATGAATATGCTGTATATTCCTCATCACAGCACCAATCTCACTAGGTAGTAATTTCCTGTTTACTTGTCTGTCTCAAATGTGAGATAAGCTCTAAAAGGGGCAATGACTATAATACTGGGTTTACATAATGTTTTGTTTGCATAATATCATAGTACTTAGCACAGTGCCTGGCATAGAAAAGTTCAATAAATAAATGAATCAGTTAATAACAGTTAAAATACTTGAACCACATTCCTGATCATTTTTGCAGCACTTACTAAATGCCCTATCTAATTTTTTAACTACCATTATTGTAAGGCAAAAGTGAAAAAAACCAAGAAAGAAAAAGGGAGAGTTATATGAGAGACACAGAAATGAACAAGGGCCTGTCTCCTTTTTCATCTGTTACAGACACTTTTCTATAATCAAGTAATTGTTTATTCAATGTGACTGCAAAAATCCTAAGGACAGAGCCTATCCCCTACAACATCCAAAGAGTGCTAGTAAATACCATTCTGTTGCATCATAACTGTAATGGGAAAGGTATGCAAAAAAATTCTATTGAACAAACAGGCCAATGTACATGTATCTTCCATCAAGAGACAAATCATTTGCCATTCCATGCATGTAGCTTATTAAAACAATCCTACATGTTTTATGCCTTCAAAACAAAATTAACCGAAAATCCTATGTGGAGAATTAGGTGTAAGTGACTAAGTTGAGAAGCAAATCATGATACATTGAAAAAGGTAATACAAATAAGGAGATTTTTAAACCATAGAACAAATATCTGATGGGTGGTGAACACAGGGAGTTTTTAGATGGTGAGAGTGCTTAAATTACTGTTTAAATAAATTGTACTATAAAGCATAACTTTGTGGAATTGAAATCTTACCAGAATATATCCTCTAATACATCTAAGGGTAAAGGATGAGGATTAAACACAATAAAAAGTCTTTCTTTCACAGGAGTGTCAGGAGGGGCTTTTTTTTTGCATGATGGAAGTACAACATCTGTTTGGATTTGAGGCAACTGTGATCCAGAACTTCCTCCAAATTGCTGTTGAAAAGTTGGGTACAAAATGAGAAAAAGAAAACTGTACTTTATTACTTTTAGCCAAGCACAAAATGTACAGATGACAATTGTCTACACACAGCAACTATATCATCATAGGATGTGGTCTTTTATTATTGTGCTAGACATTTTCTTACATAATCAACAAAGGTCACATTTACTTTAAATACACTCTTATTGTGAAAATTAAATTCTTAGCTACTCACCAGAAACTGCTGCTGACTTGGGTTATTCCACACCATTGATGCAAGCTGTGCTGCTACCATCTGCGTTGCCATTTTTCTAAGGAGACTGGAGATAATGACTGATAATTTACAGAAGAGCAGAAATATTGAGTTTCTTTACAGTAACTCATTTTGTGTGACTTCCTTACCTGAGAGGTCAACTTTTTTCTATTTTTATTCTTCAAGTTACAATCATGTACTTTGAAAGCTTGGCTTTAAACACTCCTGGAATGGTACTTACTCTGTTGCATTACTCCCATCATCAATGAAGGAAACACCTATTCGATTTCCAGGAGGGTACTGAAATCCATGTAACTTGTATTTTGCATAAATAGCTGATGCCACATTAAAATACTGAACCACTCCATGACCTAAAGTAGCAAATACACAAAAATTAAAACGCAGATTGAGTATCTAACCTTGTGTAGAACAGTGTCTCAGTGTGAAGCAATACAGAAATACCCTAAAAGCATAGGTAAGCAGTGACCTCAGCTATCAAAAAGAACTGTAACATGAAGGGATGAGGAAAATTCTGAAGCTCTACTCTGGGCCTCAAAGAGTTTATGATCCCCAAGGAGAGATAATACATCCTAAGGTAGAAAGAATGTGGTTAGGTACATGGGAAAGTACAAAGTGCTAGGGACTCTAAGAGCTAGAAGAGAGCACATCTGACTTGGAGATCAGAGGACACTTCAATGAGATGACATTTAAATTGGACCTTGAAAGATGAGTTAAAAGAGTTGAGGGTTTGGGCATTCTGGATAGAAAGAACTGTTGTTAGTCAATAATGTATATTTTTCCAAGAGATTTGTCCTTCATCTGGTCACACTGAAATTCTCTATTACTATGGGATCCATAGGAGCTCTGGTAGTGTAGTGCCTAAGGTACTTGACGGCTAACCAGAAAGCTGGCAGTTCAAACCCACCAGCCACTGCTTGGAAGGAAGGCTGGGCAATCTACTTCTGTAGTGATACAGCCTCGGAAACCCAAGGAGGGGTCGCTATGAGTTGGATCTGACTTGATGGCAGGGATTTTGTTTTTTTCTGGTTAATGGGATCTATAAGTGGTGCTGGAGAGCAGTAGGAGACTTATAATGTCATCATTTTAAAAGTTCAAATAGGTATCCGTAAGTTGTCATTATGCTCTACTGTTTATTGCATTCCAGTCTGTTGCAGTGACTTGGAAAAAAAGGTAAGACAAATAAGATCTTCCTCTACCACCTGCCAAAATGACCGAGTACAAGTACATGTAGTGTTGTTTGTTTTAGAGGGTTTGGAAGTAAATGGTACTATTTGAGAAACCAGAAAGCCCAGAATTGGAATGGTAGAATACAGTGATTTACAAAAATCAAAGAAAGAGAAGTACAAAAAAGAAAAGCAATATGTGTGCAACAACTATGTGCTTAGAAACTGAAATATAAGTCAGATTTTGGTAAACATATGAACATGGTATTTTAAAGAAAATGGAATAATTTGCATTAAGTTCTGTCTAATGAATTTAACTTTACATTACTGGCTCTTCTTTTATAGATATAACTGTAAACCACCAAAAAACCAAAAACCAAACTCACTGCCATTGAGTCGGATCTGACTCATAGTGACCCCTCCTTAGGTTTCTGAGTCAGTATCACTATGGAAGTAGATTGCCCAACCTTCCTTAAATTTTTATTCTTTGGAATCTACTTTGAAATTCAAAATCAAAAGGCTTAAAACACAAGGAAGTGTTAAAGTAATAGTATATAATGGGTTTAATCAATTAACTAGTTAGTAAGTTCAAATAGCTGATATAAATAAAGCCTTGTTTCTACTGAAAGTGGGAAGTACAGAAAGAAGTAGGGCATCTAAAGGCTTGAAATGAAGGGAAGACTCGAGTTTCATTTAGGGGTATAAAGATTAGAAAAAAAGAGACTTCGGGATGGGAAGGGCGTTGTCAATTCTGACTCATAGTGATCCCTCCTTGGGTTTTCAAGGTGGTAGCTCTACAGAAGTAGATTGCCCAGTCTTTCTTCCTTCTGAGGACTGGGCTGGTGGATTTGAACCACCAGCCTTCTGGTTAGCAGTCAAATGCCTTAGGCACCACACCACTAAAGCTCCTAACTTTGCCTAGCATTACCAAGATTATAGACAGACACTTTAGTCTGAGGTATTTTTGTTGTATACTGGAAATAATGTTCTCTCTCTCTGTACATATATATATTTAACTTTTTATTGTGATTTGGGTGACAAAGAGCAAATTCATTTTCTATTCAACAGTTCATGCACATTTTGTTTTGTGACAGACTGCAATTCCCACAATGTAACAGCTCTCTTCCCACTTTCTCCCTATGGTTACCTTTTCCCTATGTCTTTCTTTCCTATGTAAAAGCATATATATATTTTAAAAGAAATGATTTTGTATAGAGGAGATATATTCCCAGATGTTTGGCTGCTAAGGTATCACTGTGTTTGAAAATCGAAAATAGAGAAAAAGGAAACATAAAACTTTTGTCACACAGTTAACCTCGTATAAAAAATGGAGAAAAGTCATTTTAACAAAACACAGTATAATTAAAGAAATCATAGACATCATTTTACCATAATTTGAATAAGGATCTCGTTGAACTTCACAATATTCCAATCCTGGTACTATATCAAAAATGCTGAAAAGCTGCTCTTCAGTGAAAGGAACTCGTGATACAACTGATAAGCGCTTGGAGATAGCTTCCTGGCCTCTGTTGTCACTCTTTTCAAAACTTGAAAATTCAGGTTGTTGTTCTCCAGTAATATAAAAAAAGTAAATCTTTAAATTTCTATACATTCAAGAATTCAGTTAACATTTTAGATACTAGAAAGTACAATTAACTTTCATTGAGTCTGCCACAATGAATAAAAGACATTGTGTTTTGTACAACCTCTTGGTGAGCAGCACTATCAAAAGGAATCGATGACAAGAAAACAGACAACTCTCTGCACTCCCCCATTTCCTTCAACACTGAAATATATTTAGAAATATGTAGCCTAACTTCACAGGAATATGGTTAGTATGCAAAACTGCACAATATGACAAATACCTCAGCTGAAAGAAAGTGTATGTCAAGAAAAAGCCCCACACACCCTTTTTTCATTACTCATTTCCCTCTTTTTCTTTTACCATGGCCACTCCTCTGCCTTCTCTAGCCCGATTTTAAAGCAGTTATAGTTTGGGGACCAAATTTTAGAACTCATACTGAGGGGGAGTTTGTATGTGTTTTGCATTTTCTGGTCAGCTGCACAGAGACAGAAGCTCACCCTCAAAAGTGGCAGTGACATAATTTAATACTTACATAATGCATAATTAAACACAGACAACATTACAATAGGAAATAAGTTCAATAAAATAAGTTTTAAATATTATGGGCATTAAAAATCATGACCCTCCCTGGGCAGCATAAATAGTTAAGTGCTAACATAAAGGCTGGAGGTTCAAGTACTCCCAAGGTAGCTTAGCAGAAGGGGCTAGAGATCTACTATTGAAAAATGAATCACTGTGGGGAAAAAGATCCCTGACCTCACAGGGACGACAGAGCTGACATTCTAGTGGCATAAAGTATAGGATAAACAAATGAAATATGTACTAAGTCAGGCAGTGATAAGCAAAAAAAAAAAAAGAAAAAAAGAGTCATGAACAACTTCATTTAAAACAACATTTAAAAAATTTTGATTTATGACATGATGAAAAAATATTTTTTAAAAAGCCTCAAAACAGATTGCATACATTATATATTCTATAAACTATTAAAATAATGGTAGCCCACTTACCAAATGGAAACATATTTACTCTAGGTTCATGTACCAAAGTCTCCTGCCTCATGGTACTGTAATGATCTTGTTCAGAAGATTCAGATGCTTTGTTTTTAGGTTCAGCCAAGATTGCCTTAAAACCTTGGGGGCAAACAAAAAAGAATCCATGAATTTCAAGCTTCATACCAAACTTAACAAACTGCAAATACATGTGATTGCCAGTGCCTGACTTAGGATTATAATTGTTCAAAACAAAATTTCAACACTGGCCATCTCTACCAGACCTACTTCTGTCTTCTGGAAGAAGACAAAGAATCCTACAGGGCTTCATCACATTCAACCTATCATCAAGATTCTGTCTTTGGAATATGCTTAGAATATGCTACCTTGCACTTTAATATCCCTGCCTTTTTAAAATTTAAATTCTGTACAATGAATTACAACAGCCCTTTAATGGGTTTCCTTGCCTCTGGATCCACGGTTCCTAACCAAGGATCCAAGGATGAGTTTCAGAGGGTGGGAAGGTTCCATGAACTGTTTCTGAAACTTAACAAAAATGCTTATGCACATATGTACACACGAGCATCTAACATTTAAATTTATTCACTGTGGCAAACATACATTAACAAAACATCTGCCATTTCAATATTCTTCAAATGTACAATTCAGTGTCACTGTGTACATCATGTTGTGTAACAACTACTGTTATTTGTGCCCAAATTTTTCATCCTAACAGAAGCTAAATGGCACATGAGCATTTTTCAAGGGAGATGGTACACAGTGTTCATTATGTTATTGAGAGGTTCCAAAGATGATAAAACCAATCAGTTTAGATGCTGGACTCTAAATTCACTGTTGACAATGTGGCCAGATCAACTATTACAAAATAGCTTTTATTATTTTATTTATTTATTTTATAACAATCTAGAAAGGATTCCTAACGTGGACTAAGCTCAAATTTTCATAATGTTCCATATATGATTCCAGCATATCCAAATAATTTTGTTTCATTATTTCTTAAGAGGAATATTATGCTTTACTCAGACTGCTGCCTTCATGCTATGAAGTACAGGACATGTTTACTGATGGTTCTGTGCTTTTGTTAACAATGTGTTTTGTCTATTCTACATCAGAATCTAGTTCAACCTCCGACTAGCTGAATTCCTTTTTTTTTTTTTTTTATCATTGATAGACAAATATATTTTTGAACGTTTTCTCATGTGGCAAATTTTTATTGAGTCTACTGTAAACAGACCCCAATAAATCTTTAATGAGAGCCTATTATGGTGCTAGGTACTTGAGGGGACAGAAGGATATATAAGACAGATTCTCTGCTTTTAAAGAGCCTTTTAAACAATTTTTTTTAATCATTCCTTAACTATTTTTTGCCTATTAGGTCTTGCCTACTCAATCTAGCTTGAAGTTCTTTGATGGTCAGAACTGTCATATTCCAGTTCTGTTGTATCCAGCTGTTTATTTAGTACATTGGTGGGAACACTATAGGCAGTCAATACATGCTGGCTGAATAAAATTAAATTAGAAGAATCTAGGAGAAAATTTTAGTATGTACGTTAGTAGTATCTAAGAATTCGACAAAATAATAATAATTCTTCCCTACTAATTTAATTATCCCACATTTTATTTCTAAAAAGCAATATAATCAAAAACATGGCAATAAAATTTTAAAAATTGCATTCCTCATTACGTACACTAGCAATAGTAAAAGATCCAATTAATGTCACCCTAGCTTGAAATTAACCTAACCTATATTTAATTACCTATATAGGCAAACCTTAAAATTCTATTTTTAACCTCTATGTTTTTTAATATATTTAATACTATTTAGAGTTTAGGCCAAATATGAACAAATATTATAAAAAATGTGCTTATTTAATATAAAGAATAAATATAAAATGGAAGGGATAAATTGATATTTTTATAATGTTTAGAAATTACAAGATACTTAAAAAATAATAACCTCATAAAATAAAAAACAAGTAACAACAGAATCGTCACTTACGATCCGAGTTAATGTAGATAGTGGCTCAAAGAATGCTTAACAGATCAAAACCCCAAAATAACTTTTATCTTAGGGCTACACATATTTAAACCCCCACTTAGGTTAAATTAGTAGATATAGTTATTAGTAAAAACCAGTATTACACTCAGTAATTTAGAATAATCAGAATTTTTGAAAAAGACTTTATGTTTATCCAAACACATCCTTACTTCGATCACAGTTTTCTATTGCTTGGGCAGCTTGTGATGGTTTTAAGTATCGTACATAGCCCAAACCTTTACTTTCTCCAGTGACTTTATTCTTAATAATGCTGCAATACTCGATATCTCCATATACCTATGAGAGTTAAAAGAAATGACTTTAGGGGAGTCAAAATTAATAAATGAACAGACTCTTTCAAAAACAAAATGTGTTCTTATCTTTCAAAAACAAAATGTGTTCTTATCTGTGTCTCTCACTTGCAAAGAAAGTAGGATTACAATTCAGAGTCATTTTTAATGAGGACATCAAAATGTTACCAACTTAATGAGACACTAAAAAAATATCTGTAATAAATAACAGTGACCTAACAAATATAATAAGTTTATATTTTTCATATATATATATATATATATA